TTTCTATCTATTGCAGTTTTTACATAAATAAAGATGCAAGTAAAAAAAAAAAACACCCTGTACATACATATATATCTAAATAAATCAAAGGATTTTTTCAGGCTGCCATTGTTGGATTTCGGACGCGGAAAGTACTCTTTATTGGCGTAAAAAACAAGTACTGCACAACTTGTGCTCGAGCTGATACAAGAGGGGAGCCAGCAAAAGAACACACATGCTATAAAAACTGGAGCATGAAACAAAGCTCAACCAGTATGGAGTCATCTCTAGTATGCGAGGGGTTCAAAAAGAGTGAGGAAATGTACAATGTACGGTATGCAAGACTTATTGCCGATGGGGACTCCAGCGTATATAAGAAAATAATTGATTCTCGGCCCTACAAAAACTGCACTGTTCAGAAGATAGAATGCAAGAACCATCTTTTGAGAAATATGTGCACTAGACTCAAAACGATTGCAGCCTCTAAAACCTGCAAACCTTCCGTTTGGCTCAGAAAGAAAATTGGTGACAACTTGTTACGCTGCAGAATGGCAGTAACTAAAGCCACTGAGCACCGTAAAAAGGAAAGGAATGATGCAATCAATGAAGAGGAATCAAGTAAAGCAATCGAAAATCTCAGAATGGATATATTGAATATACCAAGTCACGTGTTCGGCGAACACAAAAAATGTGCTGAGAGGGGGTATTTTTGCGAGCTGGACCCACTACTGCCCGGCCAGATGACAATTTAGTACCTGATCTTGTCACAGTGGGCCTTTACCCATTGATCACTGATGTGTTCAGAGATGTTAGCCGCAACAGCCGCAGCTTACTTGCTGACGTCACTAGCAACTATGTAGAACATTTCAATTCAATTGTTGCCAAATTTATTGGCGGCAAAAGAATAAACTTTGCTGCTAGTGGTTCATATCAGACTAGATGTACAGCTGTTGTCATTCAACACAACTCTGGACTAGCACACTACAAGCTGCACAAACAAATGTACGGTGCTAGTCCAGGGATATTCGCAAAAAGTGTGGCA